ACCACATTTTTGTAAAACAAATGTTTGGGCCACATGAAAAAAATATTTTAGATCACAAATAAAATATGTTTTGGATTACAAATAAAAAAAATATATTGGGTTTGTGAACTATTATGTTTTTATAAATTGATATTATTAAAGAAATTGAATAATAAATATTTAAGAATTTATTTTTGCTTTGGACCACAAATTTCGTTAGACCGGTCCTGCACTCTTGTTATGTTCCTCTTATCACTCTCTTCTCCTTCTTACATATATACAGGAGAAGAAGATTAGATTAATAAAATACACTTGTACATGGGGATGTTTGATTAGTGGCACATTAGAGACACTTGGACATAACTTAAGTTTCATTAGTGGCACTCTTGTGTCAAGGTAGCTAAATATGATGGCACTTGTCTACTTAATAGATAAGCTTAGTGTCAAATGGTGGTTAATAATCACCAAATTATAACACACTTCTATTTATAAAAGTTACAATATTTTTGTCCTCGACTATTTCTCTGGGCTATATATTAAAATTACAATATTTAGGTCTCGAATCTGAATTCTTGTATTTTTATAGTACCTTTTGTGCAAAAGTATCGTTATAGAACTAAAAACCCTTGGGATGGATTCTCTTCTCTCTAGTCTCTACTCTCTAGCAATTTTTCCCTCCAAACCAGAAAACCCCCAAATCTCACAGGTCGGAGATTCGTTTCTCTTCCGGCTTAAAAATGGCGTCTTCTTCGTCAACTTCCGGTGTCGGAGGTTACGAGATCCCTTGGGTTGAGAAATACAGACCGAGCAAGGTGGTCGATATCGTCGGAAACGAAGATGCAGTCTCAAGACTTCAAGTCATCGCTCGCGACGGGAACATGCCCAATCTTATCCTTGCGGTGAGATTCACCGTTCTTAGTTCCTAAATCTTTCAATTGGCATTCTCTTTGTTTCCAATCCTCCTCGAATTTGCCGAATACCACTAGGGTTCATAAGAAACTCCAAAGGGAATTAGGTCTGGCTCCTGTGTAGATTTTAGGGTTTTGATCATTTTCCATTGTATGTTAAAGTGAATGAAGTGTATTGAAGGCTTGATTTAGTGTTCAGTGGACTACTATCAGTGTTTTGTAGGATTCTGTGATTAGTAAGGACTTGGTTAGTATAATTAGTAGGACTCTGATTTGTGCGTTTGTGATGTTTGTTTGATATCCGCAGGGTCCTCCTGGAACGGGTAAAACGACTAGCATTTTGGCTCTTGCGCACGAGCTGCTTGGCTCGAATTATAGGGAGGCTGTTCTGGAGTTGAATGCATCTGATGATAGGTATGTTTATCTGTGTTGCCATTCTTTTTACCAATGAGATTTTTTTATTGGATGTTGTTTTATCTTCGTTCGTTGTTTGGCTCTTCATCGTATGCGTGGTACTGTTTGCTGTTATTGTGTAGGGGTATAGATGTTGTTAGGAACAAAATTAAGATGTTTGCGCAGAAGAAAGTAACACTTCCTCCGGGGCGTCATAAGGTTGTAATTCTAGATGAAGCTGACAGGTTTGTGCACTTGAGTCGTTCTTTCTCATGTTGAATTGTTCCAGTCAAGTTTTGTCTGATTCATTGCTTCTTTCTGTTTTTGGTTTGTAAAATCAGCATGACATCTGGAGCACAACAAGCCTTGAGGAGAACGATTGAGATCTATGCAACCTCTACACGGTTTGCACTTGCTTGTAACACGTCAGCCAAGATTATTGAGCCCATTCAGAGTAGATGCGCCCTTGTTCGATTCTCGAGATTATCCGATCAGCAGATACTAGACCGTCTCATGGTGGTGGTTCAAGCAGAGAATGTATGGATTCTGCCACTTTTCTTTCGTTCTACAAGTTCCCCTGTTTTGCTTTGGCTAAGAAATCAAATGGGTTCTTATCTTCAATCAACAATAAAAGAAAGCTTAAGCAAATATAGTTGGCTTAAATTTTCGACATTTCTAATTGCTTGTGTTCTCATTGTCTCAAGGTTCCATATGTACCTGAAGGCCTTGAGGCAATAATCTTCACAGCTGATGGTGACATGAGGCAAGCTCTGAACAACTTGCAAGCCACATTCAGCGGCTTTCGGTTTGTCAACCAAGAAAACGTCTTCAAGGTTCGATACAAAACCTCAACTCACTTATCTAATGAAACACTTCGGTTTCACATCATCAATCATACA